CAACGCGACGAGTCTGGGAACTATCAGAGAAGGCCCACCAATGATGTGGTGATAATGCCACGAGACATCTACGTACCGCCGCATTTAATCGGCCAATTGGCGCAGCATGACTTGGGAATGCAATTATTATTACGCCGCAATGTGATACAACGTTTTGCTCGAGTGTTGCAACGATTCAAGCTGGAATTTGGCGGTCGCGACTCAGAGTCCAATTCACGATGTATCAGAACGAATCGTCTCGCTGCCATAGCGGCGGCGACAGCGGCTTCTGCTGCTGTCGATGATGTTTGCATCATGTCGGAGGAGTCCGGTACGGACGAAGCCGTCGAGCAGTGTAGCCGCCTTGAGACCATTCCCGATTACGAAACAGTGGAGAATGAACCTCATGACACGGTGAGCCAACCACGGACAGAATCACTGTTGGAGATTCGTCGTAAGACTAGCATGGACGATTCCAGACACACTACTCCGGAGCGAAGCTGGAGACTGGAGACTGAATCGTCGCGCGATGATCATTTTGTCGGCCCAAACGGCGGCATTCTCAAGGTCAAATCAGCTCTCTGGGCCCTCGGCCATGCAGGCACGTCTGTCGCGGGTGTTGAACACTTAAGTCACCTGGGTATCATTGAGATGATTACGTCCATGGCGGAAACATGTCCGTATTATTCGGTACGTGCCACTGCGATGTACGCTCTCAGTCTGATCGGCACTACACGAGCTGGAGCCGATATATTGGTGAACTTCAACTGGCCATGCGTCAGGCATCGACGTGGTGACAACTGGCCCGTGGTACCACCCTCAACTAGATATCCTATGCCAAGCCCGATCCCCGTGCAGCGACATCACCGTAGCCTCAGCGACGGCAAACCGGAACTGCTCGAACCAATCGTACGCCGCACCAGGAATCGATCCGAGAGCGCGGCCACGGATCTCGAGGCGCGACGATACTTCCTATCGTGAGTGAAACAAAAATATATATCGAGAGAGTAGATATTAAAATCATTCTAATCTGAAACGGACTTCTTAAGTTGAAGAGCTTATACTTGTCGAAATATTGTAGCTTAATAGGAATTTTTTTATTTCTATTTCTATAGTTTAATGCCTATTTCCAATGTAGATTAATCACGGTTTAACTTGCTCTTTATCTTTTTCTAATTTTTAGGACTAGAAAAAGATAAGAGTTAAGCCGAGATTAAAATTAATCTATATTGGTGGAAACGGGTATAAAATTATAAATGTAAAAAAGATAGATTTAAATATATATTTTAATTTCTATATTTATTTTAATATCTATTTGCGTTTTGCTATTAATGTTGTATATTTTTTTAATTTTTTTTTAGAGAGAGAGGTGAAACTCCAAGCCCCGTTTCAAGTATTCAAAGACTAAGCCAACAAGATGCTGAAGGATATGCGCGACTACGTAGTTTACAACGCCATCGCAGGCCGAGTTATTCTCAAAGTAGTTTAGAAGTACGTGATAAGACGTGTCCATACTTGGAAATTAAATTCAGCAGTTTTTTTCAAACAACATGTTAGATAACAATTCTTTCTTTTTGCAGATGTATAGCTTAGATGGCCGTCTTTCGCTACAGAGCCTGTCGGAATATGATTCATCCCGTAGCTGGATTGCGGAAAACGCGGTTCTCACACCGACGCCACCTCCTCCAGAAGATGATAATGAAAACATATTCTATATGGGTGTCTGCCTGCCGAGGAAGTTACTTACGATCTTTCCCGAACCTCCTCAGCCATCTCAGCCGACCATTCTCGAGGATAGTATTAGATCCGAGTTGGAAACAACAGAGATCGATGAGGAGTCCAGTTCAGAGTGTGATGCCGATACCGAGCACTGTCGCACATGTCTCATTTGCTATCATGGCAAGAGTGGCAAGGACACTGGTACGGAGCAGGATATGAAATTGCGAAGGTATCAAAAATATGATCTGATCACTCACCACGGATCTTCAAATTGACGACATCAGAAGCGAGAAAACACATAATAAAAATTCTTGCAAAATATACTGAAAATTCTCCTTTTATTTCAGAATAGAATAAAATATTTATCTTAATTTGACAGCTATCATATAACTTCTAGTATTAGGCATAATTCAATTTCAATTACAGTAGAATCTCTACTGTAAATAATTATGTATTGATTACCTAAATACAAGGGTAGTTCGAGTATATTTTACAATTCTATTCTATCAATTGTTTATTTATTGAATGTTTTATTTAAAAAAATATAGTTTGCAAGATTTCTCTTTATTAATTTTGTTCGCTTCTAACGTCACAGTCCATGATGGTTGCGTTGAATAAACAGAAACCTATTTTAGAATTATAGTTCTTAATTAATTAAATTATATAAAGAATATTAAATAAATGATAAAAATTTTATAAGATTACGTTATGTTTAATTCGGTCGTGTTTGCACAGAGAGATACTTAGACACACCCAACGGCTTGCAAATCCAGTGTGGTATCGTTACAGTCGTCAATCGTTACTTAGACTGAGGCAACAGTATCCCGAGAAGTTCCAGGTATGTCATACATTCTGTTTCTGCAACAGCACATAGGAGTGTCCTTTACATACATTCGCTTTTTGCAGGATACCTGCTTGTTCTCGGACGTAGCTGCTCGCTTGGGTAGCGGTACGTATAGAATGCCAGCACGGCAATTTCTGCAAGAGCTGTTTCTGGATTCTCCATTCGATGCGGTAAGTTTTTTTCTGACGCATGTTTCCATGGGTCGACTCTCATATAATCGCATGACTCATGATTGTCAGAATTCGCGTCAGTGTTATTTTGTAGTTGGCATAATGCATAATTGATTGAAAAAACTATTAAAAATAAAAACTCGTTGAAGTAATGGTTATGCAAAGAATTCGTATCTAAATTTATCATTAATATGATGATATTTATAAGTTAATAATTATATGAAATTGTTTGTTATGAGTTTCTTATTTCTATATAAATTCATTGTATTTATAAATATTATACATAAATAAAATTTAAATATTAAATATTAATGGATTGATAAACATATTATATAATAAATTAAATATTATCATTTATTAATAAATAAAAATATATGTATGAGTAACTCTCTTCCTTTTTGATTGTAAGATAATTTGCGACTTTGCAGCTTTACGTCGAACCAATCAACATCTTGAAGATTCCGATTGGCACAGAGGAGAATCCCTTGCAATCACCTGTTCCTAGCTCTGAGGTTAGCCCTTGGCAGCAATCTGTAAATCCTGCGGAAGGCAAGATTAACGGAAGACTTACTTTGACTGAGATACAAACGGCGCAACTGGCATCGGTCGCCGAGGAGAGTTCCTCTGCCGGTGGCGGCAGTGGCGGGGGTGGCAGCGGCAACAGTGAATCGTGCAACGCGGGGCTTCAACGTAAAAAGAAGCCTGTGGAGGTTGTTTGTCCGTCACAAGTTCGACGCACCGACGAGAAGATCATAGCCGAGATCCTGAAGCCGGAAGAGCGAATACGTTTGTCAAAGAGTTCCGATAGGTCGTTAAAAGTATCAGGTACAAACACTGCCATCAGCCTTGATTCGTAGTTTTCGAATTCTCGATCACAACTGCGCACGTGTGTATACGCATGCGCGCGCGTATGCATGTCATGCGTATGTTATGTGCTGTGTGTACATATTTTGTATTAAAATGATAATGATATATATAAATAATAAATTACACATATATATATATACACACATACATTCACATACATACATACACCCACACTGCCGGCAATCAGACGTATTATTATGCATATTTCAATGTTTCCTATTCTTGCGCGCCTCGCGTCTGTCTCCACATACAGCTATTCATTAACCTCAGGATTACACATGCTTTTGTATATGTTGGGTCTCTTAGAGATAGCCAAATTTTTGCCAATTTTTGCTATACAAGAGATAAATAAAAGTGCAGACTTTTTAACAAATTCTTTCTCCAGGAGAATGCTACGTACACATTTTTGTATTAAAGTATAATTATGAAATCAAAAGTCAAGTCTGTTTGCAAAATATAAATGTTTTAGGAGAAATGTTCGAATGATACTGACCAATACTGACGACTGAAAATTTTTTATTCTGGTCTCACAGATTTACGTGTGTAGTCCGCGGGTTAATGACCGATTAATTCGTACTTTATATCTATATCATATGCCCCATTGTAATCAATCGCATTATTTTTTAATGTCGCAGTCGACTCCTTTTCTTTCGTCGCAAAGACTCGACGGGACCGTGTAACGTTGCTAGTTTTATACTTAAATATTACAATTTCATTTCTATTTATACGCATTAATTTATGTATCATGTATACGATGAAAAAAAAGATGAAAAAAAGGAGCAGGATGTGTGGAATATCAACTAATGTGTTCATAAATCTCATATGGGAACCCTTTCCCTTCATTAGAGTTTCTATAACAGAATTTGGCTACGAGTTGTTATATATATAGTCTTATTCATATATATATATATAAGTTAAAATGAAATAGCACATGTATTGTATATAAACTAATTTATTCTTTTCAACATTTACGAGGAGATTTAGTTTACAAATATTATTTCTCATATATCCATTTATACTTTTCTTTCCCCTATTTTAAATTTTTATCCTGCTTTTTTCTGTCCTTATTGTATTTCTATCTTAAAATATATAAAACAGACATTTTTTCTTACTTTTGTTTTAACAAAATTGTTCACAACCAGACTCTGTTATAGGGTATCTTCCCTCCCCCCCGAATTTATCCATCCTTGATATCTTTGTCGTTAATCAAGGCATCACGTTATCGACGCTACCGTCCTGAGTAGCCTGAGTTCGAAAAATCCGCCATTAATCGGCGCAGCGATCGCCACACCACGCATAATCGGAATAATCCCTCTTCCGGATGTCACCGATTATTCACGTCATCGCTCATCGTCCATAATTATTTATCGAGAGGATAAACAGTACGAAGTTTTGCCAGCGCAAATAATTCCTGGATAACAATGACAATGAACGCAAAGCAAGGCTCCAAACGATTGAAGTGGGCCCTAGACTTTGCGCACAGGTACGTAACCTAATTGGCACATCTTCCATAAGTACACGTGTCGATTTAAGGTATTTCAATCGTCGACGTTAGCCAACTACTCGTGTATTAATTATTAACGTCTATTCTTTTTAGACGCAATCTTTACAATATCTGTATTCAGAAGAAAAAGTCTAGAATGTGAACATAAGACATCATTAAAATGTCGTTCAGACATGCTTTTAAGATGTCTTATGTCTCCTTTTTGGACTTGTCTGAGCATTTTCATATTTGAATCTCGATTAAATAGCCGCCGCTGAAAAGAAGACGGAGATCTGTCGTTTGGCATTTTTTTTTAAACAATGATTAATTAGTAAATCAAACATTCTTTTTACAGAACGAAACAGGATAAAAATATAGAGATACCATCTCCACCAGGGTATACACCTACTGGGGGCCTTTTTCACAATGTCGAGTACATGAGAGAGTCTGATTCTAATCTTCTGATAATAAAGAAGTCTTGGGATTTGGCTTTGGGACCCCTCAAACAAGTACCTATGAACCTGTTTATCTTGTATATGGCTGGTAGCTCCGTTTCGATATTCCCTATCATGATGGTCGGTATGCTTATCGTCAAGCCAGTCAAGGCGCTGTTCACTCTTCAGCAAAGTGAGTTAATACGAAATTGTAAATACTGAAAACATAAATGTTTCAATGCCATTCTATAATCACATGCTTCCTGTATTCAGCGTTTAAAGTGATCGAAGGTACACATGCGTGCGGACAAAAGTTTGTGTACTTCCTAGGACAGTTAGTGAATATCGCGTTAGCTCTGTACAAGTGTCAGTCGATGGGTCTGCTGCCGACACACGCGTCTGATTGGCTGGCATTCGTCGAGCCTCAGACGAGATTGGAATACTCCGGTGGAGGTTTCATGTACATTTGATGCAAAGGGGTCGATCAGGCGGTATTGTAAGTATTCAGCATATGCGTCGGCGTGAATTATAGCTAAATTATACTGCAAAAACTTACGTATCATACGTTTAAATATTGTTTATTAAAATAAACATATGGAAAAATAAGAGTGACTTGTCTTTGTACATTGTATTGAATACGTATACATATATATACACACACAGGTATATGTCGATGTTTCCTTGAGAGTTATATATTACGTTTACATCATATATCAATAATGGCATATCTGTCTTCTAGTATTGGAAGTGGTTTTAGAAATATACATTGCTGTGATTACGCTATGGTTTTTTTTTATTCTCATCTAGAAACTGAATTACTCGCTGGTACAGTTTTGCTGGTTCATCCACTCGTGGCACCTATGGCAAAAATTAGCTTCAATTTATAAAATATTTAATAGGTACAGAGTTTGTTTTACATAATTTTCAATTCAGGTTAATTTAAAAAGATAGATGGGATCGATAAACAAAGTTTAAGTATTATTTATACGTGAAGAATTAATAACTGTTTGTGTATATTTATTTTGTTTGTATGTAAACCAATTGAAGTTACAAAAGCATTTCTTATTGGATTTGCATACCTCATAATTTTGGGCTATGTATATTCCGGCATATACTCCAATACTCAGACTGATCTGCAAATCATTAGAAGAAAGTGACAAATAAAATGGTCTTCGAAATCGCAAAGCTGCATGTTTTTACGTACCAAGAACCGAAGCATATTGAGGGTTCTCAAAACAGACTTAGTTAATCCGACAATATTACTCGCTGATGCTCGCGGAATACCGCTAAACATTCGGATAGAAGTGCACTGACGACACTGACGTACGCTCGAACGTTGAGCATTAAACACGTGCCAGCATGATAAGAAATAGAATGGATCGAAACTCGTCGGAATCACTAGTTATTTTCAGTCTGCTTAACTTTGTAACTAGATCTAGTTACAAATTAATTTACTAGTTAATTTTGATGCTTGTTTTAACTGGGGATAAGAAAGCATGATTTTTATTTTTAAATTTTGCATGAAACATTTTTCTCACCTCATTATTTAAATATTTCATTTAACGAAATTAATGAACTAAAGTGTTTGCACTTCTAATAAATAATAATTTCATATTTAAATAACTAAGATATATACAATAGGTTTTCTATAATAAATCATTGTACAAGCTTTAAATTTTAAGCCATAAGAAATTGATTAATATCAGTTAAATGCAAGAAGGATAATATTATGATCGATTAGTTTTTCTTATGACTCAAGATTTAAAGATTACATAGGTAGGCCTGGATCTATAATAGATTTTTAAACCTTATGCCATAAGAAATAGATGAAGTCGATTATTCTCTCCGTATTCAATTGTAATTGATCAATTTCTTATGGTTTAAGGCTTAAAACACTTACTGTAGATTCCGACTAATAGTTTATTGTAGCAGAGGGAAACCTGAGTGTGGATCCTTTTTCGTGTATTAAACATCGTAGGGTAATGTTCACGTTTTTGTGGTTCTTTTCCATATTATGACGTGGATTAGACAAGGACGAACAATCAACTTTGATTATTCATCCTTTAACTCATGTAGTATATAAGGGAACCACAAAAGGATATTCATTTTCAGGTTTTTCTAATTGTAGAAAGCCCATAAAATTAAAGGCAATTAGTGTTATTTTATGACTGAGGAAATGTTATATATAACAGAGTTATTATTGAATTTTATTACGTACAATTTGCCTTCAAAATATATGTATAATATTATGTTGACAGTAATAACGTAATACATCACAAAGACAGAGAAAAATCCTTAGCTTGATCTAAATAGATTTGTGAGGATTTTTTTTATAAAGAGACAATATTGATATATATAATCTACTTCTTAAAAGAAATAATTTTCTCATAAGAGATTCGTTTAAATGTATTCAAGGTCAATATCGCTTAATAAACTACAAAAGTAAGACCTTTATGATATAAGAGATTTTTGTCGTAAGAATGACGTATTAATGACTGACAAAAAAAACACTGAAATTCTAAAATTGTATCCGAAATAGTTCAGAATCATTTATAGTAAAAATCAAAGAAGATTCAAAATTTGAAGATTAAGAATTGCAAATATGAATATGTGTTTGTGCGCGCGCGCGCGTGTGTGTGGTTGTGTATGTGTGCTTGCAAAAGGTCTAATAACCGTCTTCGTCATCTTCATCCATAGCGAAGTCTACTCCAGAATCCGGCACGTAAAGAGGGCTGAAAAACAAAACGGATAAATCGCATTACAAGTTAAGAGAGAAAAAAGGACAAAATATCTCTTTTTTCGTTTAAACTTACTTTATCGCTCTGCACGTGAAAAATACAATGCGCTTCAGTTTTTTGTTGTAGAAGAAATAATTGAAGGACCACAGACATCCGTCTTCCCCAAAAGGATCTGACGCGAAGTCTGGATTGTAACTGTAAACCGTTCTCTTACATTATTTTGTATTATTCTCACTTAAATAATTCTACATTTACTCCTACTTCATGCTATAGGAACAATCGAATGTTTACCTGTAAATATCACACCCTTGCAATGATATCTCTTTATCAACAGCCGCCCAAAGAGCGGAACGTAATGATCGATAATGATCGCCCGCAGTAGCGTTGAGATTACCATCCACTGCGTTCATTACCCATTGTAGGCTTGGCTCCTTGCTGAACTCGTGGCTCTTAGCGTCTGAGAAGTCGTAATCCGGATTAAAGGTTGAATTCAATGTGGCGATCAGATAAAATAACGTTTTTTTGCTGATCGTGTCGCACAATGGACCCTCTTCATCACCGGAAACGCTATGACTGTAGGAAAACGTATTACGATAAAAGTGTTATCAATTTAATAACTAAGACCAGTCAATTCTTATATTTATAAACTATATTTAAAAAATTGTAAGTTTTAAGATGTCATAAACTAATCACAAACTGATATTCACAGTCCGTCCTAAGTAATGTCTTGTGGATTTTCTACAATAAGCCATTAAGCTTCGAATCTTAAGTCGTAAAAAATTTATCAAAATTACATTTGATTATTCTTCTCACATTCGATTATGACTGGTCAATTTTTTACGGCTTAAGATTAAAAATTTAAGTAACGATTTATTGTTGAATATGTATCAAGATGCTAATACAGATCCAAATTAGCGTTTTAAAACGTTGCTTTTAAAACGATCCTGTAATAAGAATTAATACCGACTTAAGCATATACATATGCAAGAGAAGGCAAAATCTTATCCTGAAAATTAAGTGCAATTAGCACGAGATGGCTTAATATTATTTAAATTGACCGAAATTTCTACAAGAATGGCAGGTATCTTTCAAAGATACCTCAAACATCCTTGAGCCGGAGACGTTCCTAAAGATGTCTGCGGTGGTGATAAAGCTTGTAAATCGTGCGGTGTACCTCCTTGCTCAGCGTTGTACCGTTTGTACATTTGTTTATCGTTGGCTGTCATTTTGCAGGAGTAACTCTCAATCCTGCAATAATAAAGACGTGATGTAAAAAAATTAACAAAATGATTCAAGGGTGCTTCCTACTTAGGTAAAAATCCTATTTCCACTCATTAATTTTAATCTTGTTTAATTTTCTCTCCATCTTTTCTAATCTTAGAACTAGAATAATGATCGTTTCTATGTAGATTATCTCTAATCTCGGTTCTCAATTTGCTCTTTATCCTTTTCTAATTCTTAAAACTAAAAAAAATATAAATACTTGCTCCAAGATAAAAAATGAACTATATATTGGCAATCGGCATAAAAGAGTAAATTGAACCCAGTTAAAGTTATTCTACATTAATGGAAATGGACATTAGTGATACAAATTGACACAAATACTGTATTTTTCTTGACATTCAATACACAACAAAGGACAACACTCATATCAAATGGAAAACACTCGTAATAAGATAAATTTAAGTAGCTTCCATTTGCGTTACCTTCCGATTATCTTGCTATCTCCGGTCTTGATGGACAAGGCACTGTTTATAGCTTCCAAATGTGTATTCTCTAGCAACTTCATCCTGCTGATGACGGCGGTCTTTCTAATTACGCTGTAAACTGTGGCTCTTGGAGGGCTTGAAACTGCCGTTGTGTTTGTATCTCCCCCGTCAATTGAGCTACCTGACTTACAGCGTTGACATCTCGTGACCCTTGGAGGTTCTTGTCATTCGCTGTTCAGGCGATTCTAGATACGTTTTGCTCAGATTCTCAAGGTCTAGGCCGTTCAGTACAAGCGAAACGTCAAGAAGCTTCTATAACTTCTTTGACTTATCGGGTTGTTGAACATTTCTTTTATGTGTATGAAAATTCCTTTCCTTTTCGAGTGGACGAGATTAATTGTCGACGTAGTGGTCTTCCCGGCTTCCTTGCTGTACTTGCACATTACAGATAGCTAGTTAAGGATTTGAGGGAAGGTGATCGAGTTCCAGAGCGGGTTTTATCGAACGCGAGATCAAGGCCCTTCACTCCCCGAGGAGTACACAGAGGTGAGTATTAGGTCCTTTACGTGCACTGGCCCGCTTGATAGGAGCTGAATAAAAGAGCGAAACAGAGCAACACGGGAGAGAGCAAGAGACTAAACGATGACGCGACGCGAGACGCGACGAATCTGCCGATAAACAAAGGTGCGCTTTAAGATTACTGTGGATTACTGAACTCCGGAATAAAAATTATCGTCTCTCCGGCGAAGGCCGCGCGCGAACAAACGCACACCACACACACAGGCGGAAGGACAACTTCTCGCGGTGTTATTCGGATTGACAGGAGACGTCAGATTTCAACCTCGGGCTGTGCTTTCTTCTCACTCGAAGGAAAAAGTGCGAGAGAGAGGGAGATATATATATATGTATGTCGAGAAGACAGTGCTTCAGCCCGCGTAGCGCCCGCTACTGACGATAACAATCCATAATCACGGACATTGTCGCTTCGCTGCGGCTAATACTTATCACGATCACAGAGGGAACAATAAACTCTTCCTCTTGAGAAACTTGTCGATTTCGCGTCGAGAACGCGTCTTCTGTACGACACCCTGACAACGCACTCGGATCTTCCTCGCGCGCGAGCTCGACCAGTTTACCAACTCTAACTCTAATTGCGACTCGGTGTCACCGCACACATAGAAACGCGCGAGGATGTATACCTCCGCGGGGACTTGCATATATACATATAGGCGCTCGTGTGAGTGCGCGCGCGAGTGCCGTATATACGTGACAAAAATAGCAATAGCAGCTGGAGGTGGAGGACGAAGGGAGACCATCGGGGAGATGTATCGTATCGTTCTCTCGCTTCGGCCTCGCTCGTGCGCCTTCGTCGCGTTAGTGGGGGAAGGCACGCGTACCCGCAGCCAATCGCATTTCGTCAGCGACGCGCGCGCGCGCGCGCGACGCCTGCGAGAGGGGGAGGGGCACACGCAGCGGTCCATACGTGTGTGTGTGTGTGTGGCGCGCGCGCGTGATGTGTACGAGCCGTGACCGGGAGGCTTGTCTCGTTTTGACCAAAACGAAATAGCTCTCTTTCTACTACTCTCCGCGTCTGCGGCTCTTGCACTCCCTGTGTTGAAACGAGACAATTGCATGTCGCAATGTAAACAGGGATGGAAGGGGGAAGAGAGAGAGAGAGAGAGAGAGAAGGCCAAAAAACAATCATTCCAACCATAAAAACACAAAGGCTATCAGTTCCATCAAAATAAATATTTAAAAAATTTTAATTTTAATTATAGTTTAATTTATTGGAATTAGAAAAAATAAATAAATTACATTGTAGTCAAAGTTAATCTACATTGAATAAAATAATAGACATGTAAGATTTTTACTTTACTCTCAGTTTAATATAATTTACTCTATCGTTTTCTAATGCTTAGAATTGTGTTTTTATCATGTTGTAGACTAATTTTAATTTAGCTTGATTTATTTTTCTTTTTTTTTTCTAGTTTTAAGAATTAGAATTAGAAATTAAAAGTTAAAAAAGTAAATTAAACGAGATTATAAAATTAATTATTCTACACTGTGTGCATTGTTCGTAGAAACGGCCGAGATTAAAGTTAATATTGATAAAGCCAAGCCGAAATTCATTCAAGCCATCATTTAAGGCTCCGAGTTATTTATATTAAATATAAAACTTTAATACAATTTTTCAAAATAACAATTTAGCGTGTCGTTACAGAGATATATATAATATAATACGAAATGATATATCAGAAATCGAAGATATAACATAAAACATGTAGAAGAACACGATTAAATAATTAACGAGCATATCTTTTAATATCTCTGATGCTCTTTTATAATACCTTTTGTATTATATATATAAATCTTTGATATAAATATTGTATGTTATATGTGTGTGTAATGCATATAGTGTACGTGTAGTGATTTAATCGTAGCGCACCCGTCGGCTGTATTTATTTGAAGTGATCTTAACCTCGCAAAACCGCAAAATTAGCGCAGGATCGACCTGGATCGGCGCACATCGACCTAGGAATGAGGATGGTGTGACAGCCTGTCGTAGACAGGAGCTTAAAAGTTTATTTAATCGAAATTAGTCAAAATGTCGAAACGAAATAGCGACTACGTGGTCACGGAGCACCGCGACTTACAGGTTGGTCGAGAAAGTGTTGCGTCTTTTCATGTAAGAAGTAACAACCGTAACAACTCTTGTTACACCGGAGAAATGAGAGTTTATTTAGTTTTTTTATTTAGGCTAACACCATGGCAGTGGACGCGACCGGCAATTACGTTCTGTTGGCCGGGTAAGTGGTCTTTATAAATCAACAATTACCTACGGCAAATATTTAGTGATATTTATTAATTTATAAATAATTAGCACTGCCACACACACAAGTCTTCGTAGAAAGAGATGATCTAAAAGCCACGCTGTTGATATTTACATGTTTTATGTGAGAAAAAATGTCATTTAATCTATTACTGTGCTTGAAATCTATGACAAATATTTAGTATGTTTATTAATTTATTAATAAAATAGAATTTTATTTATATTTTTCAGTATATATTTTTTTTTTACAAGTCAAGAAGGAGACTTGGTTCACAATTTTTCTTAACCCATTCATCCATACATACCTTTCACTTACTTTTCATTCATCCATTCTTCCTATTTTTTAGTTTCCCTGTTTGGTCTACATTACTTAACTCTTACTTAATCTCTCAAAAATCTTATTATCTCTTAAAAATCATAGCCAGCGTTTATTTCCTATCCATTTCTACTATCTTAATTGTTCTTTACAGCTCAACTTAGTTTATACTACTTATTAATTTATTAATATAATTAGTATTCAAGTTTTTGATAGAATGAGGTTATTTCAAAGATATTCTTACAACTTACGTGTTTAATGTAAGAAAAATATCATTAGTTTACTGTGTTTTAAATATCACATTATTACTAATACTATAAAAATTTTATTCTTTCTGTCTCTCTTCTCTAGACGTAGATACTTAGCGGTGAAACATTTGGACGAAGATGTGAATACAGTGAAGAAGTTTCAGCGACAGAGTAAATACGAGGTTGGCTCTGCCGAATGGAATCCATGCGACTTAAATTGCCACTTGTGCGCAATTTCTGTAAGATTCTTTCTATTTCTTTTTGGATATTTAGGATCTTGCCGCTCCATACTGTCTGGAAAAATATGTATTCTGTTACATTTCGCCTTGAAATAATTTTCTTTTATAGAGTAACACACGAATCGAAATATTGAACTTTAATGGAGCAGGCGGTTACGAGTTGCAAACTACTCTGAGTCTAAAAGCCCACACACGGGTAGTTAGCGATTTGAGTTGGCATCCTAAGGAGCCAGATATCATTGCTTCTTGTAGCATTGACACGTTTATACATATTTGGGATATACGAGATCAGAGGAAACCATGCTTGTCTTTGTCTGCAGTTGGTAAGATAGAAGACATAATAGAAGGGAGGTACTTGATTCCTTCTTAACTGAGAAAATAACAGTTCTTACGTCTTTTTTAGCGGGATCATCTCAAGTACGTTGGAATCCACTGTCGACGCACATCTTGGCCACAGCGCACGATGGAGATGTCAAGATATGGGACCAACGGAAGGCGACGAGTCCTGTACAGTATATAACAGCCCACTTAACAAAAGTATGACATAGCTTTATTATATTGTTTATTAGTAATCACTAATTTAGTAATTAGTGATTTTTGTGTGTAAAAAAAAAGTATTTAAATCAAAATAAAATTTTAGATACATGGTTTAGATTGGTGTCCCTTTCAACAAAATCAATTGGCAACGTCGAGTCAAGATTGCACCGTCAAGATCTTCGATATTGTTAATCCGCGTAGAGCCGAGAGTATTTTAACGACAAATTCACCTGTGTGGAGAGCAAGATACACGGTAGGAACACGGATATAGGATTTAAGAGTTTTTATATTGTGCTCCCCCATATGATGCGTCATTCGTAAATTTTTTTGCAGCCTTTTGGAGAGGGTTTGGTGACGATAGTGGTGCCGCAATTACGACGTGGAGAAAACAGTCTTTTATTATGGAATACGTCGAATCTCAGTGCGCCAATATATACGTTTGTGGGCCACACGGATGTTGTGCTTGAATTTCAATGGCGGCATTTGAAACTAGGTTGTTATATTGAAAAATTGTTGAAAGTATATTATAGAAAGAAGAGAGTTATAGAAAGTACACATCGCTATAAATCTATTCGTATCTACTTATAGAAAACAGTGAATTTGAACTCGTTACATGGTCCAAGGATCAATGTCTGAGGATATTTAAAATCAGTCCATTTATAAAGAAAGTAAGATGGAACTTATCTTTCTCACAATTTTGTAAAGTATACAAATTACGAGCAATAGAAATGTTTCTTTAAAGAAGCTATGCAGCTTGCAAATTACTTTGTCTTGATACACTGTTAAATATATTGTTAAATACCATTTATTTATGGATGTATTAAGATACCAAGATAACCATAGCTCCTTTGAAGAGAATGCATGGAAACCTCAAAAATATTAAGAAATGTTTCTTATTTTTAGTTATGCAGCAATGGTATAGATGATGGCCTATCAGTCTACAGTCAGTATTCCGAAGAGAATAATTTAAGTACGTAGAATACATTGTGATATTTCGATGATAAAGTTTCTTTTATGTATGAGAAACATCTTTGTAGGAACTCTGCAATCCGTCCAAGAACTGCAGCTGAACACTTCTCAGAGCGAGCCCGAGATAAATTACATTACGACTAAAGTGGATGAGCCTGTGCCGCAATCTGAGACTATCAGCCTTCCAGATAATTCTAAAAAAGTCTCGTCCCCCACTCAGCCAAAGAGTTTACAGCAGGAGTTTTCCTTGATAAATATGAATATACCAAATATAGAGGTAGTATTTACATATACACAAAATACCAGATGATTTGAAATAACTAATGTTTGCGTTTCGTTTCAGGTAAATGCGATGGACGTAGTGGAGAGAAGCTGTACGATAACCGCATGTACAAAAAACTACAATGTGATATTAAAAGTAAATTTCCCTGTAAATTATCCATGCAGCGCCCAACCAACGTTCCAATTTTGTCCCGGTACAACGATCGATAATACAACAATGACTAAGCTGCTGAAGGTTCTCGTACAAACTGCTCAGCATCGCGTCAAAAAGAACAGATCGTGCTTGGAACCATGTCTCCGGCAACTAAATATAACTTTGGAGCAAGTAAGTAGGTCTTCTTTTTGAATTAACCCTTAACGTTACACTACTAGAATAATACACTTCAATATAGCATACTCAATCCATTTGATTACTTAGAATTTTCATAAAAATGAACATATTGTAAGAAATTTTTTTTTAATTAAAATGCCAGGCATGAAGAAACATAACGCAGTACCAAACAAATGTATATTTTAATAAAAAAAGTAATAAGTAATGGAAAAAGAAAGCCGTGTATGCCATATCGAGAAAGTGTTAATATAACATACGGGTAAAAATTTTGACTTGTGTTATGCTCGACAGATGTGCAAGAAAGACGAGGACGAAAGCGGGCACTTAGTATACCATATGCAGGATAACAGTAATTTCTTGAGCTCCCCCAATATCTGCGGGAACTATCAGGACTC